GAAGTTTTCATATTCTGTGCAGATGTTTGCATTCTTATTTCATCAGCAGTCTTTCACAGAAAACCTTCATGATGAAAAATGACCATATGTTGGAATCCTAAATTTATGCAAATGAAATGGTGCACACACACTCGGACGAACCCTCCTTCGTTTTGCCGCTAGCGTACAGGGACTTCAGAGCTCGTTAGCACCAAGGAGCACAACTACTTGCAAGAGAACAGCGAGTCTCCAAGTTTGTGCCACACGACCTTTGGTAGCCAAGCTGTAAAACCAACAGAAAATCCGTGGCCTGGAGTTCCCTCCAGTTTCAACTCAATGTGCAAATTCAGTTTGGCGTCTCTCAACAACACATGTCATTGTGCCTGTACATGAAACTTGACACCAACAGGGAGCTTTTCAAGAATGGTTCAATGCAACTTGGCCCAATTTCTTGTACTAGTCAGCACGCAGCGCCCATCTGGGGCTGGTGAACCGACTAGACCCAGTTGAACAAGTGGGCCATGCTGTTTCTAGGACACAAAAGCCTTTGGAAACTACAGAATCCCTAAGATCGTAAAATAAGGAAAAATGGATCCGGTTTGTGCACTTGCTCTGGTTCTTGTTGCCGAAAAACTATTTTGGATGAAAAACAATCTAAATCCATTGAATTCAGTCTTTTTTGGGTTACCAAAAAGGTTTTTTTGCCTGTTGGACATCAAAAGTGGCGGTTCCGGAAACGGGAGCAAGGTTCGACATGCTCAAAGTACCTTCAAAAAAGTTCGGAATTCGGTCGAAGTGGCTGAAGAACTCGAAGCACTCGGATGGTCCTTGCGAAAGTTTTCATCTTACATATGCTTCTGATCTTGATGGATAAGCTCAAATTCTTCAATTTTGTCATGCTCACGCTATCCTTCTTTAACGCCAGTGCAAGAGTGTTCGAAGTGCGAGTTTGTGAAGTTCTTTGCGATTTTCACGTTTGGAATTTTCTTGAAGTTTTGAGAAGACAAAGAGTTTAAAAGCTTTTAGCTCGCTTGTTTCTCTTTGTTTTGGCGCCTGAAAGCGTACCAGGAAGCACCAAGCGCAGAAGCTGTTGGGATTGTGGGAGTGAGTGTGTTGAAGCTGAAGCGAAGTTCTGGTTCTACTGTAATTTGTTTTCAAGGTCTAGTACCTGCAAAAAAACGTAGTCTTTACAGCGCCTTATGGTTCTCTTGCTTGCACGCAAGACACGACCAGCATGAGCGTGTTGCAAGAGGAACCGTTCCAGTGTTTTGTGTGGTTTTGCGAGACAGCCACCACGCTCAACTTTTCGCGTGCTGCCAAAGCAGAGGTCGAATCCTGAGCCAATTCAAATGTGTTGGAGTTGCAGTTCTTTGCTACTTTTCACAACTTGTGATTTGTGAACAGCTACTTGTCCGCATTCGCTACGGACCGTCACCGCGTCTGTTACATTTTTTCAACCTAAAACTGTGCCCACGTGATGAAACAAGCACCATTGCCGTTTGGTCGCCAGGCGGAAATCAACCCAAACGGTGACAACACTTCTCTTAAAATTTGGATCTGTTTTCCAGGTCTCTGTGTTAGCACTGTTGCTCAGGTCACAGGACATGCGGGCAACATCGACCAGCACACTGTCGTGCGAGTGTTTACTCCACTCCAAATGACGGCCAAGCGTTGATAAAGATCCAAACTGCCCGACATGAGCTTTTCTTGGAGCACTTGAAGGTGCGCAAGAGATGGCTTTCAGCGCATGTGGCACAGCCGTGAAAGGCGCATAGCCTTCGTGTTACAGTGTACACTCCACCGAGCACGGTTTCACCTAAGATTGCCGCATTGGTCGCGATCTCATCGTCATGCAACCAGGCACAATTACAAAATCATTGCAATGTCAGGATTGTGGGGCAGGGCCCTATCCGATTCTGACATCATTCCCACCATCAATGGAGTTTGTTGTACAAGCGATACTATGGGCGCCCACCGACCATCAAAATTTGTCGCATAAAAGGATGTAGTCAAAGCACGTTAGGCGATACCGTCCCGATAAAACGGAGGGGTGTGTTCTGCAAGCTTTTGAGGCCGACGTCTGCAGCCTTGACTTGAAGCTCCAGATTTGCAGATCCGATTTCGCAAGTCTGAGCAACCCGTCTGGTCGTGACCAGCAGGTTCAGATGCGTCCACAAAAACTCGAGGGAGGGTCCGCAGTTCTGAGTTCTTTCACCTTGTGTATGAACCTTGAGGCACACCGCCAGCTCACAGAGCCATCTTGGCTCGTGCACCAGTGGTTCCCCTGAGTTGTGGACTCAGAGCATGGTAGGCTGTGGAAGCAGGCCGCCACCGACGCCTTGGGAGCGGCATGCCAAGTCTCTGCAGCAAAGACACGTCGAAGATGATGCCGAGGCCAGGGTGTTTAGGGCAGGCTTAGCCTGGTGAGTCTTGTGTTTCAAGGTTTTTGAGGGTTCGGAGTACGGCAGACTATGAATAACAGATGCGCCAGACTCAATAGTAACAGCAACACAGCAGCAACACAAGTTGAACAGCGACAACAACAGCATCAGCAACAGCAGCGCTAGAATACGAACAGCGACAGTGTTCGTTACGGTGTGAGCAGCAGCGGCAGCAGCCGCAGCAGCAGTAACAGTAAGGGTCAGTACTGGTAACGGCAACAATATCAGCAGCAGGACTGGTAGTAGAATCAGGTGAAATAGTGAGTAACCACAGTGACAGCGGGAACAGCGACACTGGCAGCAGCAGCAGCAGCAGCAGCAGCAGCAGCAGCAGCAGACCACAGCCGCTTTACCAGAACCAGCACAGATTTCGACATTGCTGCACTGTTGCCGCTCACTGACTTTCGCCATCTTTCGCCCATTGCAGGCTTCTCACCATAGTCATCACTCGCTACTCACCGCCAAGCCGCCCATGTGCAGTTGCAAGTCCACTGCCACCACTATGCCCTGTTCAAGGTTTCAAGGACTTCTGAAGCTTCACATGCTGGGTTGTCGAGGTGTAGAATAGCTATATGTATATATATATATATATCCTGTATGTAAATAAAATGTAAAAGACATGCGTACATACACACAGAATATACCGGCATGCATATGCTTTTCTGTAAGTTTTGAGTGTTTCCTTTCGCACAAGTGCTGTGCTGCCAGGGTCCGCAATTGCTCTTCCCCATGTACACGGTTCCTGCAGCAGCGTTACTGGAGATGGTCGAAGTAAAGCCGCACGAGGAGACATCAGAAATGCAGAAGCGCGAGAGTTTGCGTCACATCTAAGACTTCAATTATACAAGGGTCTTTAAAGCCAGAAAAAATCCGCCTCCTCAGGAGTTGCTGTCCAGCGGAGTGGTTATGGAACACGATGAAGCCAACGGGCACGTGGCTTTCGTCTCCCACCAATGGGTTGGGAAGGGCCATCCCGATCCCAGCTTCGAGCAGTTTAAAGTCCTTCAGGAGGTCTGCAGAGATCTTCTGTCCCAGACGTCTTACGTCCACGTTGATACTGTGACGTGCCTCATGAGGCCACTGCAATCAGGCTTCTATTCCCAAGCCTTGCAGAGCAGGCCCTTATTCGTGTGGTACGATTATTTCTCTGTTCCGCAGAGCCCGGCAGCAGCTGCGAAACAGCGTCAAGCCATTGACTGCATCCCGGCCTTTATCGCCCGGTGTCGCTTCTTCTTTGCCCTGTGCCCAGTCATCGAGAGTGCCGCGCTTTCGGAAGTACTTTCGCCTTTCACGTGGGTGCAAAGAGGTTGGTGTAGACTAGAGCAGCCTGGATTCTGAGTAGATAGCTTTTTGACCTGTCTTCGGTGTGCTGAGCCCCAGGGACCAGGGAACAAACCTCAAGACCCCGAAGCCCAAAGCCCTACACCCTACTGCAAGGAAAGTTCTTCATCAACTCACAGCTGAAGACGGGTCCTGGATCATCATCAAGAGCAGGAAGCACCTGGAGGTGATGCCCACGGTTTCGGTTTCGGTCGGCAGTGAGAGCGTTGGCGAGGGCACCTTCACAGATTCCAAAGACCGTGTTCAGCTGGGACCAGTTTTGAAAACAGCCCTCAGGACCAAGTTGGTTGCTTTAATGAGGGATGGAAACATTGTGGCGTTTCGCACGCTGTTGAACATGCAGGCGATTTATCTCAGGGGCTTGAATGTAAAACCTGCTGCTGACCTGGTTCCCGGTGTTACGCTCGGTACAGATGTGTTTCCTGAGCGGCTTCTGGCGGAGAGCTTCCTGTTGCAGAACGGTTTTCGGGAACTGGATGAAGTGGATGGCGCTGGCTGGTCGCCCTTGGCCTACGCCGCCCTCGGAGGCGATCCGGAGGTGATCCAGGCATTGTTGCAGAAGAGGGCCGACCCCTCCACAAGGACTCGTGCCGCCAATGCCTACATCAATGTGCCCGGAAACTTAGCAGCTGAGTAGGTTGCCTTTCTTCCTTTTTGTTGGGGTTTGTAGAGCCCTATCATAACTGTAAAGATTTGGGCTTGGGTCTCTTTTGACCCAGGCCACTCAGCAACTGAGGAAATGCTTCCGTGGTCAGCATCGCTGCTTTCTACAGCAACAACGCAGCTCTGGAGGCCAGCTGCGTGACGCCCCGCGGAGCGCTTCGGTTTAGGGTTTAGAGTTTCGGGTTTAGGGTCCCTAAACCCTAAAGCATGAAACGCTAAGGCCTAGAATTTCAGAACACTAATCCCGTTTGGTTCTTACACCAAAACAGAACCTGAGATGGTTTCAGGTCCTGATCGCTGCCAGAGCAAACCTCGAGGCATGGTTTCGGGATTTGGGGTTTAGGGGTTTAGGGACTCAGGGTTTTTTGGGTTTAGGGGCTCAGGGTTTAGGGGTTTAGGGGCTCAGGGTTTAGGGGTTTGGGGACTCAGGGTTTAGGGGTTTGGGGACTCAGGGTTTAGGGGTTTGGGGACTCAGGGTATACGGTTTAGGGTTTAATCGGGGTGTCACAGTGTTATCAGAGACTTGCTATGGGGGCTCTCATAGTCCGACTGATCAACTCATTAAATCTTTGAAACCCTGCACTTGCAGCCCCAAGCCGCAAAAATGGACCAAGCAAGGCCTACCTACAACCTAAATCCTGAGGCATAAAAAAGCCTACAGCATTGAACCAACCCTACACGCGTTCCCAACAAACCCTGCGTTGGATTTCACTGGCTAGAGTCTGAGTTTTCTCTCTAAGCCCTAAACCCTAGACCCAAAACCCTAAACCCTAGTGGTCACTGCATCTGGGGGTGACAACACCGAGGGAATGCGGATCCTCCTAGCCGCAGGCTGCAGCTTGCAGGCCCCTTTTGGGGTTAGAGTTTAGGGTTGGGGGTTTAGGGCTTTGGGGTTAGGGTTTAGGGTTTGGGGTTTAGGGCTTTGGGGTTTGGGGTTTAGGGCTTAGGGCTTAGGGTTGCGGGTGTAGTGTTCGTCGGGAAAAGTTAAGACTTGTAGCATTTTTTCATCGTTGCTTGTGCTGCTACGGCTGTTCTCTTGTCACGAGTCACGGCTGCCAGTACTATGCTCTTGTCTGCCCTCCTATCATTGCTACTCTTACTGATACTACTGCTACGACAACATCAAGAACAGATGCTACTAGTAGTAGCAGTAGTAGCAGCAGCAGCAGCAGTAGTACTACTACTCCCGCTACACGGCTACTACTGTCACTATTATGCTAGGGCTCTTCTTTTGCTTAGCACTATGACTCTTACTCTTATTCTGTCTCTCGCTCTTACTCTGACTCTTACTCTTGCTCATTCTCTACTTAGTATCGGCATTAGTACTGGTATTAGTACGGTATTAGTGTTCTTTACCAGTACTAGATTGTTTTTTGTTGTTGCTATTTCTACTATCAGTACTTGATTGTCTGTTGATAGTGCTAGCACGCGTACTAATACTTATACAACTGGTTGGTACTAGTATTGGTTCTAGTACTCGTACCGCTGCTAGTACGTTTCACTGCTACAATTTTTAGTACTGCGCCACTGCTACTATCTCTACGGCTACTGCTGTCACTGCTACTACCACTACTACTATTATGACTACTACTACTACTACTACCACCACCAACACCA